TCCACTCCACCCTGCTTACAAGAACACACCTAAGTCATATTCTCACTTTTTGCTCTCTTATTAAGAGTAGACACCACAATTTCAGAATCACAAAAACAAAACAAACAAAAAATAACATTGATTTGGATGAAGAATGAATCTTTAAAGACCTATTGGTTGATGATCAGCCCAATGATTGGAAACCCAGATAAAGAGAGTTAAAAGAGAGGGTAGAGATGAAATGAAAGTGTTAAATCCAAGTAGGAATATAATATAAACCCCAAACCAGAAACTCCACAAAGAATAAGCATAGTTATAGCAAATAACATTGCTGAAACACTACAAATTTGAATATATTTCTCTATATACATTTCTCTATATCCTAAAATATGAAGAATTCTAATCTATAAAGCTCTATTTGAAGTAGTTTTCATGTACCATTCATTACTCTCACTATCCATATTTAGAATTGTTTCTCCCCAAATTCATATGCTGAAGCCCCAACTCCCAGTGTGACTACATTTAGAGAGACAACCTATCAGGACCTAATAAAAGATAAGGGCATAAAGAAGCCCCTGAACCCAAGGGACTGGCTGGTATCCTTATAGGAAGACACAGGATAAGGCTTGCACTGGCTCTCTCTTTTCCTCCGTCAGTCCCTCCCCTCTCCCTCATTCTTCCCTTCTCACCCTCCTCCCCCCACACAAAGATATTCTAAGAACTAGGCAAGGTAAGACTGCTTACCCAATACTTATCTTACTAGATAGAAGCCTGCAGAAGCAAGCTTGTAGGGAATGTCAGATGGCTGCCGAGGCAGAATGGGCTTTTGTCTGTTCTTTTAAGTTAGTTAATCTTGGAAGACAATTCAGGAGGAATTAGACTTAGGAAAACAACCCAGGCAGTAACTAGAAAGTAAAGTTTGAGACAACTATAAAAACCCAATGTTTTTATACTATACTAAGACAAAATGAGGGACACAGCAGATTCACATTCAAGCAGCAGGAATGAAGCCGAGAAGGGGGAGGCCGAGCCCCCTCTGTAAATGTCTATCCCACAAGTGGCTTGAATTCTTTCCACTGACATTTTATTGATGAGATACAGTCCCATGGCCAGATCCAGTCATAAAGAAAATTGAGAAATGTGATCTAAAAACTGAGGATAATGGAAGCTGGTGAACAACTAGCAACCTTTAGGTTAGGGTGACTCAGTTAGGGAGAAATAAAGGATTAATGTAAAATATTATTTCTTTTTGGATGTGAGTAGGAATGCAAGTCAATCTTAACTAAATCAATCTCTTAAGTGAGCATGAAATAAACTTCTGTTTTGTTTGCAACATCTTATAACCACAAAAAGACCCAGGCTTAAAAGGAAACTGATACTCTGGACAGCAGAGCAGAAAGGAGAACCCCAGGTTTCTGATTAACACCCTGAATCCACCCACCAGGTGCCTGCTCTGCCCAACAAGACCCACTGTGTGAGAGGAGAGATTTCTTTACTGCGTAAACTATGTCTGTTAAATTTCTCTTAGCCATCTCTTCTTTTCTTCATAGCACTTATTACACTTTTGAGTCATTGTTTAAAATTGTGAAACCTACTTTAGATCTGGCAGACTCCACCTTGTCTCCCATTGTTATGAGATTAAGGTGAGCAGCAACTGCCTCCCTGTTCTCATTCATCCAGGATGGAGACAGGCACAGGAAGACCATCTGCTGACTAGTATAAAGACCCCACATTGCAAGGCTGTCTGAACACTTCTGTTCACCAATCCAGAAATTTCAACAAGTGATCTAAGCTTCATTGGATCACACCCGTTTGATCCTCTGTGCACAGTTCCTGAGGGAACACATGCTGGAACTGTTAGGGGGAAGGATGTCCTGAAGGAACTCTGCAGAATCTTGTGGACTCCACCCCCGACTCCATGACTGAAAACTAAAACTCCCAGCAGTACCAGGGAGAGAACTGTGAGGACCCAGGGGTGGAGCTAAGCAGGCATTCTGGGACTTTGGGGGATAAATAGGGCGCCATTTCCTATTGCCCTTGCTTGGGAAACAGCTCTCTGGACTGCGACACACTCATGACTCCTGGCTTCAGACGCGGTGACTCGGCTTTCAGTTAGTTTGTTACCAGAACTCCAGAACTCCAAGTCAGCAGAGCAGGTAAGATATTCCAGTTATTTTGTAACCCTCTCTCTTTCCCTGAGTTGTTCCCTTTTCTTTCCCCCCTTTTGTAAATAAACCCATTTTGACCCTTATATGTGCCTGCAGTACAACTGAATTTCAAGCATGCAGGTGAGGCCCCACACACAGGCGGCCCAGTTCACACTGGGGTGCCCAGTAACAGAACCACTCCGGAGGTGGACTCATTATGACCCCTATTCTGAGCAAGTGATTGGATGGCAGCCTGATCACTTGTACATTGACAGCATTGACCGCCACTGAGCCATAAGCTCTGAGTTCCAGCATGAGCTCTGTCCTGCTCTTGATTGTATACTGAGTCAATGAAATAAAATGGCTGAGACAATGCTCAGCACACAGTAGGCGTGGTGAAATGGGAGTGATCGTGAACGTGTTGATTGCTAAGTCTCTTTCACTGCCTCTAAAAATGGAGCTAGAGTCACTTGAACTAGTGGGGTAGACAGTTTGGGGACTTCTCTCCTTTATTCTTCAGGGCTTTTAATTAATTTATTTATACATACAGGAACTGGGGTCCAGGTCAGAGGTGGGGGGAGGGTTAGAGGATTCACCAGAAACAAAGAGGAGAGCAGAACAGGAAGATTGAAATACACAGTTGAGGGGAGCAGTGGGCAGGTCTGGGGAGGTCTGCTGCACCATGTGGGTCAGCTCCCTGGTGGGGGATTGAACTCACGTTGCAATGACGGCGGAAAGCTTCACAGTGCTGAGATTTAACCACTTGGACCACCAGGGAGGGCCCTTTTCTTCAGGTTTTTGCTACAAAAACTTCCAACCTCTGTTTTATAGCTTGATGTGACCTCCACTTTGGATATTAGGATACTTATGCCTCGGGCTTGCCTGAAAAGGTGTGGAGGTTGGGCCGAGAGCACAGATGGTCACAGCTGGAGCTTCCACACTGTGCGTGGTGCTTTTCCTCAGGCATCACACGTGGCTTAACAGTTTCTCCTCCTGTCACATCACAGTGCTGAGGCAATGTCTTTCCAAACACTGAAGACATAAGACTTGTGAGCAGATGGTCATCCACGTGTTGCTTGTAGACACATGGATTTCTTCCTGAGGATGTGTTTCTGGACACATTTTCTTCTTTTTTTCCTATTATACACTCCACTCCCCTTAACCTTCCTGTTATTCTTTTACTTCAGGTTATCTCCTGAATATTATGCAAATTTATTAGCCTGGCATTCAGGCCTTCCACCATTTATTCTTAATTGGCCTATCCAATTGGGCCTTGTATTTTGTCATTTTACCCATTTACACTTTCAGTATTTGTTACTCCAGCATAACATTTTTTTATGGTAATGTCCAAAAATACCATAGTTTCTGGATTCAAGGTATCTTTGTTCACTTAGAACTTTCTGAGCATTTTCTTTGTGTAAGATTCTGTCCTAGATGCTCAAATAGAATAATGTGTTGACCTCTATGATGGACAGTATAACTTGTAAAACTCAGAAAGTTCCTCTCTGAAAAATGTATCAAATTGGATTAGAACGACAGCTTATACCTTGTAGAAACCTCCTTAGGTCATTTGGTGTTTTAGGGATACTCAGAAATCCATGGCAAGAGTATATTTGACTGGAATGTTTATCTCTAGGGTTATCTGCTGTTTTGAATTTTAGTTGTTTATATACATTGAATGGTTGTGTTTAGTGGTGCTTAATACAATTTAGTATTATGTAAAGCATTATGTGATATAAGTCCTAACTACTTGATCTGATTGTGTATAAGATTAATTTACCTTGTCGTTTTTTCCTGCCCAATCCCAATGTAATACTTACATTGTTTAGCTGGACCAGACCACGGGGATTCTCTTGGACATACTTCTATTGTAGTTCAGTGTCTTCTGGAATACTTTTTGGACATCATCTGTAATAAGCATCCTTTCTCCAAGTTATCCTAATGTATTGTTAGGCATTCTGGTAAATATTCTACAGACACTGCTCTGTCCCACTTCAGATGTGGTCCCTTCCTTCTGTGAAGTCCACAGTATTCTGTTACTTAATTAGTATTTGTTTTATATTTCGTATTTCTGTATTTTTATTTTATTGATTATACTAGCTTAGAAGCCACAAGAAAGAAATATACATTTCTTTATCACTTGGAAGACAGTAGATATTCTGTAGATATTTACTTTATCAAAAGAATTGAGGCTATCTGGAAGATGAAAACTTAAGTTTTAAACTCAACTAAGGCTCTCTCAGTTAATAGGTTATCCCTTTCATTATTTGGCCCTATTCTATTTGAATAGAATAAATTTACCCTTATTAGTGCTTGACTCTTAAAGCTTAGAACGCTATCTGGCACATGGTAGGCACTGAACGATAAATTTAACTGCAGGGTTGTATGAAAATCAATTAATTGATAATAAATAACAATGGCACCAGCTTAACATTAGTCATTAGCCAGCATCTGGGTTAGATCACCAATTGTGGTTTGCAACCGTCATATTCTAGGACACGTGTTCTTAACCTCTTTTGGGCTAATAGCTATACAATTTTAAAAAAGAAAATATTTTTTTTAAAAAATGATTTAGTTATTTATCCATACGGGGCTGGGGTACAGGCCAGAGGTGCAGGGTCAGTCAGAGGGTTCACCAGAGACAGAGTGGAGAGCAGAACAGGCAGATGGATGAAGTCCACTACTGAAGGAAGCAGCAGGCGGGTCAGGAGAGGTCTGTTGTGCCATGTGGGTCACCTCCAGTACTGGGGATGGAATTTGCATTGTGCCTAGCTTTGCAGTGCTGTGTCCTAACCTGTTGTGCCACCAGGGAGAGCCAAAAAAAGAATAATTTCAAGTGTCACCTGGACTCTCTGAGTCCCATTCTTATACAAAATGCCAGCTGTGAAAGGTACACTTAAGGGTACATTTAAGATCCCGGGATTGACAATCTGATCCCTAAATTCCTTCAAGGTTATTATGCATTGACAGGTAGTTAACTTCAAATTCTTAGACTGTGCTTTATTGCAATTTCACAACCATATCTCCCTTGATTCTGAGAAGCCATGAGGTTAAACGCAGCTATCGGAAATGCCATGCTAAAATGCAAATATTTAGAATGGTAACCATTAATCCTTAGCATCCAAAAAAGCTTTAGCTGCAGTTGAAGGCAAAGGATTAACAAAGGATTATGGTTGAAAGTGAAAAAAAAAAAAAAAGGCGAAATGCCAATACAAATAACTGCTTTTAGGTGCAGGGCAGCCTCTTCGCCTTCCTCTCCCCACATCTCCAAAAAAGCTTAAATTCTAACTTTGATCCGGTTTAACAAAAGGGAAGATCAGGCATTTTGGATAGCGAGGCTTCCAACATTCCAAAGTGTCATTTTGCTGCAGGTTTAAGTGCAAATGAAAGAAACAAAAGCGACCGAGAACTCTGGGTCCCGCACCACCGCCCCACGAACCAGCCCCAGGCGAGGGTGCGAGGCGCTTACTGCCTAGTGGAAGACAGAGCCCGCGGAGGGGGGG